GTAAATAAAGTAATCAAAATGACTATAAGTGTGTGAAGAAGAATAAGACGAAGGGGGAAAAGAAGGAAAAGGATTAAGACGCATTCTATTCTTAAAGTGTTCATTTGTTCCCCGTTCGATGTTCACTTTCTTTCAACTTTCTTTGATCTTTTTTTGTCGAATATGGGATTAATTAGGGCACTAGTAAGAATTACCCACACAAGGTACCTTTGGAACAGCCTAACGCGCCCGAGGCGATAGCCGATGGTGTTTGGACTGTTTCGAAGGTACCGAGTGTAAGTAATTTTACTTATGCCCGAACAAAATGGTGTTATTTCTTTTGTAAGAGGATGTTTTATTTGTTTTATAAAATGATGTATTTTAACATGATTTTACTAATAACCGTTTATAATTATTTACTAATGACCGGTCATAAGTATTTTCTAATGAACGGTCAATAGTGAAATTACGTGTTAGGCAAAATAAATGCCTGGTCACATGTACGCTTTCATATAAAAGGAAATAACACATAGAAAAGCAACGACAACCCCCGTGGGTACACACTCAGAAATATATCTTGCACAAAATGCGTAATAAAAGAGATGATCACACAGTGCAAGCAACCTTTACACTTGCTACTGGCCGCCCGCACAATTTTCAAGCTGTGATCTTCCTACCTTTACATCATGTTCATAATAAACAATGCATGAAAAATAGATTTAAAAATAAACTTTTCTACCGGGACCGTCAGAACGGCACGTTAGTTGGGGCCTAACAAAATTATGAAGAAAAAAAAATCCTGTTTTTGCTCACTTCGACACAGTCCCAACACAACTAAAACGAAAGATGCCAAGAGGGAGGGGGAGGGGGTAGTGAGCACTAATTTTTAGTTGCCCCCGATTTTTTTAAAAATCGCACCCCCTCCACCCCCCCCCTCTTAAGTACCAGGGGAGGGGGAGGGTAGTCTTTCCTTTTTTTTTAAAACAATGAGCCCCCCCCCCCCCTGGATCCCACACGCACAGCGGTGTCTCCACTCGTCGCGCGATCCCCCAAAAAGTTATCAGGGTACAGAATGAGAGGAGTGGTAAGGCCCCCCCCCCCCCGAAAAAAAAAATCATTTGGTTATCCTCGACCGCCCGCTCTTCATTTTCGGGCCGCATTTTCGGGGAGCAATCTTAAATGCCAAACATACCATTGTATCAATTGCCAGGTTAAAAATGCGTCCCGTTGCTAGTTTGGTCTTTTCAGTACGCAATACTCTACGGTCACAAAGGTTCGTACGAACGATAATTTCGTACGAATCCCCCATTTTTTTCAAGTCTTCCCGAATTTCCATTGTCTGAAAATTGTTCGTACGGCGTTCGTAGCAGTTCGTAATGGCATTTGTGACCGAGGCTTTAAACTTGTCATTTTTATTTTTCTATGTCAATATGCCATTCATTCAAATCAGGTTCTGAGTATTCTTAAACTCATTTTAAAGCCCATCTGTACTAGTTTTCAGGAGGGATTAGACCACCCTGCAAGGTCACTGGACAGGTGGTTATGTCATCAAATCAGCTCTCAGTTAACATAAGATAAAGAGGATCATGGGGGACCAATGGTCACCGATTAGGCATTATTTGCTATATAGATGGCGCAAGTAGCTATAAGTAGTACAATAGAGATTAAAAAGGTGCTGTATTTCAAAGCCAAATATACTTTCTGTGTTGGTCTTGATATTCATTGTACATTAAACTTGTCTTTTAACTTATTATAGTGTTTTATAGACTTTGTTTAAATGCTTGACATCCCAATGATTTTTTTTTTATGGAAAAAAAATCCTCCAAAATGGGGAAGAAAAAATAAATAAAAAAAAGACACAAAAAATGAAGTTTAAAAAGAAAAAAAAGAAAAAAAAAAATCCGCCCGCCCGCCCGCCCGCCCCTACTCAAGAAAAGCAAATCGAGGACAACCAAATGATTTTTTTTTGTTTTTTTGGCCATGGTCTAACTGTACTGTCAACGTTGATGATGTGTGATTGGGCGCGCGACATGGACACGGTCCAGGAGGCTGGCCTATGTATTGGTGTGACAGTGTGTATTATGGTTAAATAGAATCATGTGCTTCCGACTCTTTGCCCCCTTCTCTCTCTGTATATATATATATATATATATATATTATAACCCACATACTCACAGACACACACACTCTAAACTCTGTAATTATTAGGATCTCTGTCCAGTAGTGCCGTGTTTGTGCCATCTAAGTGGATCGACCAAGTCAATTGATTCATAATATATGTATATGCAATATTTTTCCCGTAACATGAGAGTAATTTTAATAGTTTCATACTATTAATTAAATGTATTGTTAACTGTAACTGTATAATTGTTTTAAATGGGGGCACGCTACAAGAGTCCTATCTCGCACCCCGGGGCAACGTGTCTGACACGGCCGGTTGTAGCAACTACTCCGAAGATCAAGATTACAGTAATCTTGATCTAAGGAGACACGAACGAACGAACTCTTAACTCTAAAAAGATTCGGGTAAAAATTAATCCAACATTGGGTTAATTCTTACCTAATAAACGAGCATGTTCTTCTTTTTTAAAACCAATTATATTTTTCTGTTTAGAAAGTAAACACAATTTTATATCAGACAGACGGACAAAAAAAGGACGTTTTATCCGGTTTGGCCAACTTTTCAAAGTGGCAAATTTTTATCAAATTTGGCGAACTGACCAATGTAATATAATTTATCCGCTTCGGCCAACTGCCCATTTTATCCGCTCTGACGAAAAGTTGAAGAAAACGGTCAGTATATCCAATTTTAACCAATAAACAAAATTAATGATGTCATGAAAACCGGTACATTTTATCCGCTTTCGCCAAGTCAAGTGGTACAATGCCAACCCCTTCTACATTGTAAATGGAATCCATTAATATATGTAATTGTTTTTTTAAATCTTTTGTACACATATTTATTATTGAATATTGAATATTGAATAATCAAATAAATAAATAAATGTTATCAGCAGAATGTTATTTCAGTTGGTTTCTTTTCTTCAACTTTGGTTGTGATCATCTTTTTATGAAAATGACAGATGGATTGATTTAGAAGTGAGACTTTGTATCGCAGCTTAAAGAGAGAGAGAGAGAGAGAAAGCATAAGAGAGAGTCGGCATGTAAAATGGCAATTTAGTAAATGCATGCGCACAGTTTTCTCAAATAATTCGCGTTAGATGCTAAATAAACTCGAAGAGCCAGAGTTTTTGTTGACCTGCACCACTAAAGATCATAGGCGCCGAAAGTGGGGGGGGGGGGGGGGGGGGGGGGGGGGGGGGGGGGGGGGGGGGGCAAAACGCATTTTTGCCCCCCCCCCCAAAAAAAAAAACGCCCCCCCCCCTCCAAAAAAAAAAGCAGTAAAGGAGTAAGGATGGTTTGTATTTTTAACCCCAAAGAACTTAACAATAATACAAATCTGAATTGCCCCCCCCCCAAAAAAAAAAAACGCCCCCCCCCCCCCTCCAAAAAAAAAAGCAGTAAAGGAGTAAGGATGGTTTGTATTTTTAACCCCAAAGAACTTAACAATAATACAAATCTGAATTAAATCACATATAAAATTCTATTAAAAAAAAAAAGTTAACAGGAATTAAATTTCCTAAATTATTGCGCATGCCACCTATATTTATCAATGGAGGTTTTCATAATACATATAGCTCAGTTTAGTCTCATTTCACAACGCCCCCTATCGTCAGAGTCAGCAGCCATACATGTTAGCCTATGGACGTTCTTTAAAAAAATCGTTAAAAATTCATTTTTTGTTTAAACGAAAAGCACATCCATCCCGACGTACGTTATCACTAGCTCTTTCATTGGAGCCCTCATGTCTTATTGACTTTTGAAAGTACAGCCTTTTAGTACGTAACGTATAGTGAATGGGAATGGGCGATGATCCGTCCAGGAGGTAGAGGTCAGTGTTTTGTGCTGGCAATGTTCACGCGAGCGAAAATTAGACAATCGGAGCAATATGGCGATACGCGCATGTGCATGCGCCGCCCCCCCCCCCATTTTTTTTTCTCCAAGATCGGTTGAACTTTTTGAGACCCCTCCCCAGGACGTCGATCAATTACATGAATGTGCCCCCCCCCCAAAAAAAAAAAAAAAAAAAAAAAAAAAAAAAATCATCAAACTCTGGCTACGGCCCTGCTGATGGGGGGGGGGGGGGGGGGGTCATTCCATTTATGCGTTGGAAAATTAGAAATTTCCAAATTTACAGTCGGGCGAAAAAATATGCTTATTTAGAAGCCTTTATGTTATGGTCTGCAAAACGGTTGGGGTCGGGGGCTCGAGCCCCCCTCTCATTTTTTGAAAAAGTATATTACAAAGAAAAAGAAAGACAAAGAAAGAGGAAAAAAAAAGTGACCTGCTAATGTCACAAATGTGGTATCGAAATATGCTCATCTGACCGTAATTAAATGCCTAAAACCCCGAAGCTTCCGGGGGCTCTGCCCCCTGAACCCCGCCAAGGGCCCTAAGGCAGCCCCTGGATGCTCATCTGACCATAGTTAAATATTAAAACCTCTGATCTTCCGGGGGCTCTCCCCCTTGACCACATTAATGGCCTTAAAGAGGGCCCCTGGATGCTCATCTAACCGTAATTAAATACCTTAAACCCCTGAGCTTCCAGGGGCTCTGCTCCCTGGACTCTCCGCCAATGAGGGACCTGCCAGTGCCACAAATAAGGTATCTAAATATGCTTATCTGACCGTAATTTAATGCCTAAAAATCCTGGCAACGGAAGCGGAAACGTGAACCACGAAAGAAAAATAACGGGGTCTGAATGTTAAACAACGAGCAGACCAGAAATCGAATCGGCTGTGTCAGGTAGCCTCATGTTACGTAACGGTTGCTTTCACTGTCCCTGCGACGAGGTCGAACAAAAGCGAAACCAGATTATGATAGTCTAGTAAATGCATACTCGTATTTAGATTCATAATGCTTTTTCTGTCTTTGCTGATGAGTAATGAAACATTAATCTTGTAGCTAAAAAACCTCTCATTTCATTCTACTTAAAGGTCAAATCCATATTAAAGCAATTGTAAGCGTTATTCTGGGACTTTTGACTAAGGAGTAATGGACATAGGGTCTTGAGATGAGTAAATCTAAAGATCTCATTGAAGCGTGTAAATCTCTATTGTACCATAGTCTGCCTTGTGGAAATATATGCTGGTCGATCTTCCTCAACATGCGCAAAAGAGTAAGTCATGTTATAATCACTTCTACTTCAAATATGATCCACTTTCGTAAAATCAGTACTACTGTGAAATACCATATGAACATCTTCAATATTTTCTAAACGGGAAGCTTCAACCTATTTCGTGAGTTAATGGTTAACGGCAACCCTGAAAGTGAAACAGCGAGAGTGCTTCACTACGTTCGATCTTCCGAATGTCGTAACACGTACTGATATACGGCCTGGGCCCTATAGTGTATGTAACCAATGGTCATCATTGTTTGACCTCCAGATTCAGCTTGTCTACATATAAAATGCTGGTGGTAAGTTTACATTTTACGTATACTTGTACTTACAGTTCTCTCCTTTTCGTGAGAAATCATTATTGAATCTTTACCATTAGTAATTCCAGATGAACACTGCAAAATGTCAATGTCTACCACGGTCTATATCGAACTTTATAATAGAACTTTGGAAAACGCAGCCCGCTGATTTCAGGCCTATATCATGATCATGTACATGTATACAGTATACTTATTTTTGCTGTCTGTCAATATGATGCATAGAGATTGGGAGCAGGGAGATGAGAGAGAAAGAAGCTTAAGGAGAATTTTTGTTAAATATTATTGTATAACCAAGGAGGTAAGACCTCCCAGATACGAGACTCCTACCATACTGAGCCATATAGCACCTCCTTGTATTTCTATTACATTTTAGATTTTTACATTTATATTTCGATAACAAAATAGCCGAGAAAATGTCAACAATTTGCTGGCTCTCTCAACCAAGTTCGGAGGTTAAGTTAAGTTTGGTACATCTCTCTGACAAGTCTCATCTGCACATTATTTTTCTCCTCACGATTCTCGACCATCAACATCGCTTTTCTCGCATCTCTGTACGATCCAACATATTCGTACAGTATGATAAAAAAATCAATACTTTATCTTTATGAACGACTTTTTATTTTGTTGTTTGTTCGCCTATAATATACTCCTGTCATTAATTTAATGGTAACAGGGCTGTACCCAACAATAGTCGGCACAATCATTTCTACTGTTTCTACATCCTTGATTACTAAAGATGGCGCTGCAAGAAGACGCCTAACCTGGCAAGTAGGCCAATTTATTAGGAATATTGCATTTTATATGGATGATTTCATCTCAGAACTCCATGTGTATTCTACGTTATTAATGACAAGGACTCCTTTTGTGTAAGTAACTTGCAGAACTTGAAATTATAAACTGAGCGAAATGAATTTGTTATCCCATCTCTGTCTGTATGTTCTTGCCGTCAAGCTGTACTACGAGGTAGCCCAGTCTGTCAATGGGCTAGCTTCGGGTGTTTTTATAGCAATGAATGCTTCTCCATTTACTCAGCCGCCCGATGATTTAGGTCGTAAAGGGTTAATTAGGATGTAGAGTAACCAGAAAATCTAGTAGGCCTATTCGGTTGATGAAATCATTACGTAATCCTCCATACAAAATGCAGGCTGTCTATAGAACCTTATACTCGAACATCCGTGTGAATCGTTATTTGACGAAAGACTTACGATTATTGATTACACTCAAATTTAACTAGTTATTACAATGAAATGAATCTCAAAAGAAATGGATAGTAGAAATAGTATGCAGGATCAGGATGTTTGTTTTTGAATTCGTATTGATACGCTTTATTATTATCTTTCCACTTAATCTCATCCTTATTTCCTCCTATTCTGGGTCTTTTCTATTTACTAGTCTCTAGTCTTTTGTCTTTTAAATTACCGTACGTTTAGCACGACTGATATGATCGTTGGATCATACTTAAAGATGAAGTTGAGTTCTGGTCATGCGATTGCATTGTGAAAGAAACGGTGTGGAACCGACCAGAAAATGATCATCTAGCATATAAGAATTTGTGTGTATTGCAAGGTTCTGGAATCATCAAAATGATAAGAAATTTGGCCAAGTCTTGGTAAAGTTACAAACACTTGCACAGAAAGATGTATATGGGACTACACGAACACGTGGCGTAAAAAGCCGGCCCCCGATTTTTACGATGTTACATGCATATTTAGAATATGAAGGCATTTGAAGAGCCATGCTTTTCAGGGAACATGTCTTAACTGATGTTCTTCCACACTTGCATAATAAGAATGAGTAATGCTCAAAAATTATTTTTCACCTCTTCCCAGAACTCAACCTTCTCTTTAATTTCACAATTGTACTATGTTTGAATTTAACCCCCTGGAGTAGTGTCATAACTACAATACTATAATACTTGATGTTTCTTGTCAAATGTATAGTTCAATTATTGTTGATACATGTTTTATACGGTTTGTATACAATTCATGAGGACAATTCGCACTGGCGTTCACTGAGGTTTTCGCGATTAGTCTCTTTTTAGTGACCTTGTTTAAAGGCTACGATCAAAGGAGCAGATCACCCAAATCGTCTCCGTAACGAATTCAATGTCTAGTCATTATTATTATAATTATTATAAATCACATTACTATTATAGGTTTTCCCGCCCAACTTCGTAAACTTAGCATCCAAATTAACGTTACGTTCATTTAATTTCGTGCGAAATTGAATGACTATGTGGATCAACATTCAAAAGGCTAATTGCGTCATTCAATTTGATTTAGTGGCATGCGATTTCATACTCTTGTCACGGAGATGTGCAAAACGAGCATTCAATTTAGAAAAGCGTGCAAAGAGCATTCAAATTCGCGCCGGACAAACGTCGGTATGTCTTCGTTCATTCAATTTCGTGATTAGGCATACATTTGTGACATTATTTTGTGCATTGCTTTTCATTTGATGTTAATTTGTCACTTAATATACTTCTGTTTGAATAATTTTATGCAAAGTTTACTTGGAAGAATGACATGCGTATTCGTTCTGTCATTACACAGGTAACTGTCCCCAGAGAAGGTGCACAATTTGTGACTTCTCTTCTAAGCACAAGATCTTGGACAGAAATAGTTCAGGTTTAATAGACATGGACATGATGGAAACAAAATACAATGATGAATAAAGAAAAAGATGTTAAATGAAACGATAGAAAAATCACCTACTCAATCAAGATTGATCAAAACAAACCATTTAAAATATAACCCATAAGGCATTTATAATGACAAAATATGAAGATATGAATAAAGTGATGTTTCAACAAAAATAAAGAATGTCGAAAGAAAGAGAACACATAAAATGCAATATAAATATCTCAGATAAATAAGAAGATAGTATAATTTGAAATCATGTCAGAAAAGATCATAGAGAAAAAGAATAAATAAATGAACATGAAATACTGAATATCCGAATGAACATCGAGCCTCATACTAAGATTATGAGGTCTAGTTTTAATTTGAATGACCCGATTGCGAAAGAGGTTGCCCATAGATGAAAATGAAACCGCAATTCGCCAAAGAATTCACCTCCCACTCAACATTGACGAAATTGAATGACCCTTAAACTAAAGAGAAGGTTGAGTTCTGGGAAGAGGTGAAAAATAATTTGTGAGCATTACTCATTCTTATTATGCAAGTGTGGAAGAACATCAGTTAAGACATGTTCCCTGAAAAGCATGGCTCTTCAAATGCCTTCATATTCTAAATATGCATGTAACATCGTAAAAATCGGGGGCCGGCTTTTTACGCCACGTGTTCGTGTAGTCCCATATACATCTTTCTGTGCAAGTGTTTGTAACTTTACCAAGACTTGGCCACATTTCTTATCATTTTGATGATTCCAGAACCTTGCAATACACACAAATTCTTATATGCTAGATGATCAACCTTTTCTGGTCGGCTCCACACCGTTTCTTTCACAATACAATCGCATGACCAGAACTCAACTTCATCTTTAAAGGTAATACAAAGTTTTGGGAAATTTTCAAAATTGGGTGGATAGTGAATCTTTACAATTTTGATATATTTGGATGCCCCTGTGGATGTATTTTAAGCACTAAAAAAATTAACCCCTAAAACACTTCTGTTTTCGAGAAAAATTGAATATAAAAATTTACCGGTGCTCCCGGTAAATTTTGATAAATTTCAAATAGCGCCTACGGCCGTACAATGGTAGCTGCGACCATGAAAATCTCAGAATATGTAGTTGTGATATATAATTTCCAAACGGGAATAGCTAATCGGTCGATTTTAGTCAAGAAACATTGTTTCATAGCTAAATTGGTATCTTGACCTTGAGAGGGAGCTATACAATATAAAGGGTTTATTATTTATAATTTCATAACTTTAGACTCGATTTCAACCGCGACGACGATCAATGAATATTGTAAGAACGCATATGCTTCCAGTATGTTAATTTGAACCAAATTCAATACCCCATACCAAAACTTTGTAATACCTTTAAGTTACGCATTTCCAAATTTATTGAACCAAGCTTAAATTTGAATGTGCATGTTTAGACAATTCGGTGACTCGAAACGAAATTGAATGCAACACGTTTAAAAATGAAACAGGGCAGCAACGAGTGGGGAAAATTTGCACGAACGTGAATGCACGTTAATGAAATTGATTGCTGCTTTTACGAAATTGGCCGGGAAAACCTATATTATTGTCATTATTAGGTGGTCTGTCGATGACAGATCACCTATTGATTTCGTTAGAATGTTCTTTCTATATTCTTTATTGGGTGGTCTGTCGATGACAGATTACCTATTGATTTTGTTAGAATTTTCTTTATTTAGGTCCCTGGTTCGAGTCCGGGCGTCTCCAACAATTTTTTTTTTCACTTTTTTTTCTTTTTGACCTTTCACTGTACCATCTCCTTTGAATATTAAAACACGTAGAATCGCAAATAATGTAATAAACAACCATATTTACTTTATTATTATTATTATTATTATTACTTACGCCTAACCTGGCAAGTAGGCCAATTTATTAGGAATATTGCATTTTATATGGATGATTTCATCTCAGAACTCCATGTGTATTCTACGTTATTAATGACAGGGACTCCTTTAATAAGTAACTTGCAGAACTTGAAATTATAAACTGAGCGAAATGAATTTGTTATCCCATCTCTGTCTGTATGTTCTTGCCGTCAAGCTGTACTACGAGGTAGCCCAGTCTGTCAATGGGCTAGCTTCGGATGTTTTTATAGCAATGAATGCTTCTCCATTTACTCAGCCGCCCGATGATTTAGGCCGTAAAGGGTTAATCAGGATGCAGAGTAACCAGAAAATCTACTAGGCCTATTCGGTTGATGAAATCATTACGTAATCCTCCATACAAAACGCAGGCTGTTTATAGAACCTTATGCTATGGTCACAAACCCCTAAAGTAGCCTGCTCGGCGGCCGAGCGGCGAGTTTTTAAC